ACTTGATGTTCTACTTATGTATATCTGTTATAATTTATTTTCCAACTATGACTGAAATTTTTAATCCCTTTTTTTTTAGTTTCCAGTTTAACTTGTCTCAATAGAGTTCAACTCTATTTTGTATCCATATTCCTGACTATAGGGTACAAATAGGACTCTCATCTGAATTTGTTAATAAAATGTTTTCTTTATACTTTTTACATAAAGAAAACCAAATTATTGGACACCAGATATATGCTAGTCACAGGGCTCTAGGCATCGGATTTGCAAAAATGATGAAGTTAATTTTGATCCTCAAGTAACTTATGGTGAACTGGGCTACATTGTGGTTGGGGTTTTTTTGTTTGTTTGGGGTGGTTTGGCTTTCCTTATCGGAGAAAGCTTTACTTTCCAAGTTTATTGCTGTAAAATATAAACTTCTATTACAGAGAGGTTTTAAATGTCTTATTTTCCACTTTATTTAAACTCTGTCTTTATTTAAACTCTGGGTTACTTACCTCTCCTCCCCCTGTCCAGCCATATTCCTTTTGTGTTTTAAAAGATGGGGAGGAAGGTCCATCCAGGGGCCTTTCTCTCTCTCTGTGTTTGAGTTGACCGATGTTTGTTAGAGCTGAACAAGAGTAAGTCAAATCTTGTTATCTTATCACAAGCATGTTTTACTGATGCTTAGTAACCCGTGCTGTTCCTAAGGAAGGATTAATATGCAGCTCAATCAAGGTGATCTGAATCTCAGGCTTTCTTTTTTTGTATGTGAACATCTAAACACTCCCTTGACCTTAAAATTTAGAGCAAGGTGATCTACCTTATGACCAACTGCAAAGCAGTTGAAGATTGGCCATTTTAAAACACTTTTTAAAAAGAATTGTGTAACCATAAGGAAACTGACATTTGTGGAATGTATTTGCTGCAGTAACAAAGTACCACAGATTGGGCAGTTTACGCGACAGAAACGAATTTTCTTACAGTATCAGAGATTAGAAGATCAAAGTGTTGACAGGGTTGGTTCTGAGGGCGGCAAAGGATGTACTGCGGACCTCTGTCCTTTGTCTGTAGACGACTATCTTCTCCCTGTGCCTTCACACTGTCTTCCCTCTGTATGTATCTGTGTCCAAATTTCCTCTTCTTAGAAGACCCCTCTCATATTGGATTAGGGCTTACCCTAATGACCTCATTTTAATTTAATTACCTTTATAAAGGACCCTCCAAATACAATCACATTGTGACATACTGCAGGTTAGGACTTTACCATTTGAATTTTGGCAAGGGGCACAATTCAGCCCATAACATGAAGTGAACCCAGAGTCCCAAGAAGATGCTAAGTACTTTCATATATATTGATGTATTTGATCCTCACAAAATTGCCACACTGGAGAGACATTGTGACCCCACTTCATAGAGGAGAAAAACTGAGACTAAGAACAATCAGTCGTCTTGTATACGGTCGCTGTCTAAAAAGTAGCAAAATCAGGATTTGAACCCAAATCTGTGTGATCTACTCTATTATGTTGCTTCTATGTGTTTTCCTTCTCAGTGTTTTCCTTTCTGTGTAAATGTAATATTTTGAACCAAAACAGACCCCAGAAAGGTTCTACTCTATCCTTCTTGCTAGGAAAAAATAGTTTTATAGATGTGCTTGGCTTTCTGTTGGTAGCCAGTGCTTCTACTCCGGGCCACCTGTGCTGGCTTCTCCGCATTTTCCAACCTTTTATAACAGATCTTGGGACTTGACTAAGTGCTGTTCACAAATCTAGACAAGGTGTGAACATCTGCTCTATCACTTTCATCTGATAAATGCCTTGACATGTTTCATCATTTGGAAATCTTTAGAATCTCTTAGAGGGCAGAAGTCCTTAACGTAGGAGATAGCATCTTAAGTGCAGAGACTTTTTTGGTTTGGGGCCAAACGATGGAGAAAGAAAGAGAGAACCTGTATGGGTAGACAGGGAATGATACAATGTGAACCTTGCTGAGACTGTGGGTGGAGATTAATGATGAAGATGCCCTATCTCCGGAGAGTTGTTGAAACCATGTGCCTCAAATGTAATCAGGAGAGCACCAGACTAGGACGGATATAGCACTTTTCATTACCAACCTGCTAAGCGCAGTAAATGACACCAGTAAATGAAATTGGAAAATTTCCCAGCCACAACCACAAAGAGCTTGTGGTTGATTTAAACATTTAAAAACACATGCTCTTTACCAAGAAATGAAGAATAACACTTTTCCTGGTAACGCAATGTGTATGTACGATAAGTCAAAATACTAGGATTCTAATTCTGGTTTATCACTTACTACCTGTGTGACTTGGGCAAATTAGTTAGTCTCATTGAGCATCAGATGCTTTATCTGTCACACCAGCTTGAGGGTTGCTGTGAAAGCCAAATGAGATACGTGAATTTCAAACTGTATTTGCAGTGCTATAAGATGTTAGATATTTTTGTTTTTCTTATTTTATTTTTGGCCTAAATCTAATAAAGCCCACAATTATGCTGAATTATCTAGTGTGATTCTCCAATTTACGAATTACCCAGTCCCTTCATTTTCCTTCCCTTTTTTACTTCTTGCATACTATCTGTTTTGTTGTTGTTGTTGTTGTTGTTGTTGTTGTTGTTAATGTCTTAGAACCATTGTGAAAAAGGAGGTAGAGTAGTTAGGAATTTTTAGCTTTTATTTAAATTTTTTAATATATTTGCCGATGCTTAATGAATGGGGAGACAGTCGAAAATAGCCCAGTTAATGAAGAGTTTGTTGTGTATACCAACACAGTGGCCTGTCACATTTTAAAGGTGTTAAAGCCTTCCAAGGAGATTACATGTCATCTGGTTTCAAAACAGTCCTGGCAGACTCCTGCTAGTTGCTGACGCTTTTAATTTTTCCTGAGAGCTAATAAATTTGTAGAACTTTGAAACTGTGTTCCCATCTCACCTTGATGGGCCAAATGATTGAATAGAGCATGTGATAAGAATCGCTCCCACATGATGAAGCACCACGGAAAATCCTGAGTTGACAGTTTGTAAACCGATTGCAGATCAAGTCTCTGAGTTTTTCAGTGTCTGAGCATCTCTTGGGATAGGAAGGTCACTACATGCCTGCAAGTCAGATATTGGGTCCATCTTTCTATCCCTCCAGCAAATAGTACATTACCTCTTAGTTCACATGAAAAAGGGTTGCTTCTTGTTCTACACACCAGAACGAGATACTGGTGGCATTTCTTCTTTCCTGGGAGTAGGGCAGTAGGAAAGAGGATGGGGGTGGGATTCAGCCTGTGTGTGTGCTGTGGGTTTGTGTGTGTGTGTGTGTGTGTGTGTGTGTGTGTGATGAAAGTGAAAGATCTTAGCCATGGCTATGTTCTTGGGGCATAACTTTTATTGACCATGTTTGGTACTTGGTTACTTAAGAAGCAAGGTTTGTTAGGCTTCAGTAAGCCTTGTCTCGTGGTTTGCAAGAGGAAAGCGGGAAGAGATGATCTGGGAGGTAATAGGATGCTACATTCTAGTAGTACGCGACGAAAGCAGCTGGTGGCCATCCGCTGTCAGTACTCTCTGAAGAAATGAGTTAATTTCAGTTCTATATCGAGGATTTGAGCTGAAATCTGGTGACTGACTGGCCAGAGTGAGCTAGTTAGGTGTGCCAGGATCTGTTTACTCTGTGTTCTCCTATGTGGCTGCTTGGGGATGATCAGCTTGATGTCGGTGTATCTATTATTCCAACAAATGCTAATCAGAGATAAGATTCTGATTTTAAATTCAAATTTACTCTGCACTATTAGCTTTTCTAACGCTGTTTGCTTGTGATGGCCTCATTTGCATGATTTTTAGAATATGCATTGCTGGCTACAATTATATTATCTGAGTGTTCTTTCTATTTAACATAAGTTTTTGGAGGAGGTTTTTTGTTTTTTGTTTTTTTCTCAAGGGTGTGAAGAAATTCTCAGTGTATTTGCAGTAGAGATATGCTGTGGTTAAACTCCATATGACCATTTGGTAATTGTCATCAGGGGTATAGCACAGAAGTTAGGAGTAAAAAATGCCCAGATTCAGATCCTGACTCCTCCATTTCATTGATGGCATGTGGAGTACATGTAATGCAACTGTGCAGAAGTCATTTCACTTCTGTTATAATAACAGAAGCTATTTAAAAAACAAGCTTTTTCTTCATCTTTTAGTGGAGATAATGATAGCACCTCCCCGGTAGGGTTTTGAGATCCTTTCATTAGAATGGCACACATATCAGCCAGCATTTGCTAGATCATGCTGCACTAACAGATACATCTAAAATATCAATGGTTTATAACTGCAGAGATTTATTTCTCATTCATACTCATGTCCATCATTGGTCGGCTCTACCTCTGTTCCATATTCTCTTCATCCTGAGGGACAACTGAAGAAGCAGTCTCTGATAGTCTAAGGTCAGAAAGAAAACTCACTGTGGCTTTAACAGCTTCTGCTTGGAAGCAGCCCATGTTACTTCCATTCATGTTTAATTGGCCAAAGTAAGCCACGTGGTCAAGCCTAGTATCAGTGAGAGCATATAATCATCTACCACAACACGTATGGACATTGACTGGAACATAGTAGATGCTCAATAAGCAGTAGCTTTAATTTTTTTTAAAACCAGGTATCATTCTTTTTTTTTTTTTTCATGTTTATTTTTGAGCGAGCGAGAGAGAGAGAGAGTGCGCATGAATGGGGAAGGGGCAGAGAGATAGGGAGACAGAAGACCTGAAACGGGCTCTGTGCTGTTAGCAGAGAGCCCGGTACGGAGCTTAAACACACAAACTGCGAGATCAAGACCTGAGCCGAAGTTGGACGCTTACCCGACTGAGCCACCCAGGTGCCCAAACAGTAGTTTTAATTTTTAAATCCTGTTCACAAAAGGTAAATTCTAGTTTGGGATTCCTATCATCCCTCACTAGCGCAGAGAAGACGAATATTTATGTTTGTCAGATGGTTCTCTTGAGAGCAAACTGAAGTACTGAATGCGTCCTTTGAAATTTCCAGGGAAAGTGGTCTATGGAGAACCCATAGCGGCAAGTCTCGGCACAGATGGCACTCACTACTGGCATAAAGACTGGCACCATGCAGCCCACCATGTTATGGGCCCACCCCTGCGACCAGACCCATCAACGCCTGACTTCCTCATGAATCTATTGGCTAAGTAATCTTTGAGCAGAGGGGTGTGAAGTGTTTTGCCAAAATAAGGTGTTAGATGAGTCTCAGATTTGAATGTAGGACATCTTGTCCACCATCTGAACTTCCATCAACCTCCAGTGTCCTGTTCTACTTGACATGATAGGTGCTGGGGACTCCCTTACCTGAGACCAACGAGCAGTGGCTTAATTGTGACATGGTGTCAAAATCTCTCCTGGACGCAGAGAAATCAGATAATTTTTACTGAAGTTTGACTCTCTTCTAATTGTTTCCTTGCCGTTTCTATCCTGTATAGAACCGGGTCTCTTCACTGTGCTTTGTTTCTATCATTCACATATTCCTGAATATCTTTCTGTGCTGCTGTAACCCAAGAACCAGATGTGCCTGTATAGGTACATCTCTGAGATTATTCACAAGTCAAAGCAGGCTATCTGTTGCTGGTGACACGAACATCCTCAGCCAATTGTCACATGTCTGCCCATCACAACATTGGCATTTGGGCAGGAGCTGCCTCTGTCCACGTGGGTCACTGAGGCTCATCTTTGTGTAATGCTCTACTCACAAGGAATTTTCCCTTACGTTATTGCCAGTGACCCTAATATAATTGTCATCTAGAACATGTCATCACTAATTTCTAGATAAGAAACTGAGCATTGAACAAACTCATAACCACAGAACCTACAAGTGAGGGAGCCTGGAACCAGTTTTTCTGGCCTGCACGTGATGGTGCATCAGGCTTCTTGTAAGGGTCTTATTTTCTAAAAGCGCTTCCTAGAATAGAGATGAGTATGGATGAAACACATACTTGAAACAGCTTCTCGTTCTCCACTGCAGTTTTCTGACTTTCAGTTGAGGAGCGTCAGGAGAACCGGAAAGTTCTGGTAGTTTCCTCTTGACGTCTTTTATGTATTTATCACACACTTTGGTGTGTTCTTCTTTTCCAGTGGTGATCTAACCACAACAGGAACTGACCACTGCACTTTCAACACCTGCCAGAAAGCTCTTGGGAAAGATGATTTCACGAAGATTCCCAATGGGGTGAATGGTGTTGAGGACCGGATGTCAGTAATATGGGAAAAAGGCGTGGTGAGTTTCACGGGACCCAGCTTGTTTTGCTGAACTCTGTAACCAGGATCTGGCTTGTTTCAGGATCAGAGTGTTGCAAACTGTCATAGAAAGGCTTTTTGATTGTTTTTATTACAGTGGAGACTGGGAATGCAGCACCATGACCACGGCCACCCCATTCCTCCAGGGTAACAATAAGAAACAATTTTCTTCTCACATAATTTAGTTCAGAAGATACATCGCATCATTATGCAGACATTAGGAGGTAAATTTAGACTGGGTACCAGGAGGATTACTCTCCAGGTCAGTGAAATGTTATAGCCCTTCTACTTGATTTCTCATGGTTTTGAATCCCAGTTCCTCATGTGTCATTGGTGTAAACACTTGGAATGACTGAAAATACATGAAGGATTTTAATTATGTTCATAATAAATGAGAAATTTTTCTTTTTCATGAAATTTTTGTGGATGTCTCTTTTTGAGGACCGTTGAATATCATATTTTTGAAACTTCTGTGTAAAGTCACATAAATAATAATCCAAAGTCTAGAACAAGAGATTATTGTAAATACCCACAATTTAAAATGTTCTCCCTGAGCATGGAGAAGAATCAAGTGGCTAAATGTCCATATGTCAACCTGTCCAGCCATTTGACATGTGCAGTCGTAAAGATCAACAGGGGGAGACTTGCCTGGTTACACCACCATTGTCACACCATTCTCACCCATCTCTCAGAAACCCTCCCTTAGATGACACATTAACCATGTCTCACACCTCAGAATCCCCTCCACATACCATTCATGTCTAACTCTTATTTACCAGTTCTTGTCAATTCTATTTCTAACATGTCTCCTTATTTTTATCTTTGTGTTTACTACTCTAGTTTGAAGCCCGTCCCTTGTTTGGACTATTGCAGTAGTCTTACAGCTGGTGCCCCTGCTGCCGGTCTCTCATTTGCTACGGCCTATGCTATAGTTTAGGACCAGAGCTGCCTTCCAAAGCCAAAGGACTATTCATGCTTTCTTGTCTAAAATCCTTCAATATCCTCCATTATTTATGGGATGATATTTGAACAATTAATTTACATGTGAGGATCTTCAAAACATCTTGACAGCCCTATCTTCTGCTAATCATCCTTTTCACCTCTACCCAAACTCTAATCAACCCAGATGACTCTTCTGCTCTTCCTGTTTGCATAGATTTTCTTCCTGAAGTTTCAGCCTTTTTCTCTGAACTTGTGCTATTACAATGAGTATGTGCATTACAGCAAACTTTCATACTACATCAAGTGCATAAATGACTTCAAAGTGATAGACTATTTCTTAATAGCATCCAGGAACTGTTATTTTATGAAACATTAAGGGGGTTTGCTCATGGGAATATTACTCTCAGGATGTGGTTCTTCATCATTTTGTGAAACATTGACACACTGATAATTAAATAACCCTTAAGAATGCTTCTAACCATATAAATGTGCATAGGGATAAACTCTCAACATTTAAAAAAAACAAACCATATCAGTTTAGAGAGACCACATTTATCCAAAGTTAGTCCATATGAAAATCTCTTATAGTAGACTGTCCATGATCATTGGTTCATGTACATTTCAATAGCGCAAAATTTAACCTCTTAAATTGATTTTTTCCTCTTTCTAGAAGTGTTGTCATTGATTTAAAGGTCTGTCTTATTTTAACTCTATCATATTCTTCGTATTGTCTACATGATCATCTCATACATTTTAGGTCTGCAATAAACAAGCCAGATTAAAATTTAGTGGGTGGCAGTAGTAAACTCTAAACAAAAATTGAAACCACTATTGCTAACATTTAGCTGTTTGTGTGATTCTGGGAAGGATGGGGGCAATTAGTGGGGGGTGAGCGTTAGACTGATAGGTTTTTGAAAAGTTGTCTTCAGGCTTCCATGTGTTACCCCATCATCCCCATCATTATCATTGTGATAATTTAAGACCTACCAGTATTCACAGATGTGTTATGCTCCCCAATATAAGAAATTAACTACAGTTCTGTTGAGTTTTAAGAGACAAATCTTGCACCTTAATTGATAGGAGATTTTTAAGCATATGGTCATTAAAGCAGATGCATTTTCTCTCTTGGATTGTTTTACAGCATAGTGGCAAAATGGATGAAAATCGATTTGTGGCAGTTACCAGCACAAATGCAGCTAAAGTCTTTAATCTCTATCCAAGAAAAGGAAGAATCGCGGTGGGATCAGATGCAGACATTGTGATTTGGGACCCAAAAGCCACAAGGTAGGTCTAAGTTCTTGTATTCCTTAGCTTCTCCAGGGAGAAGAAGCGCTAACTTGCAAAGAAATGATTTATTGGTCTTAATCAGACTCTTCTTGTGGGTGACTTATTTAGCCTGTATTTTGAGTCTGTGCACAAGATAAAAGTTTTGACGTACAAATATCCCTTTGTTTTCCTGGACACAGAGGACAAAAAAGTTGTGTTGCTTACCATTCCTTGGAAATGCATCTGTGTATAAAACCAATATGAATTTACCACTTCAATGGTAAGCTTGTCAGACACCTGAGTTCACATGGAGGGAAGGTATGGCACAATGAAGAAACTAGAAGGCTTAGTTTGGAAAGGGCTGAATTGAAAACCCAAAATAATTATAGCCTTTTTAAAGCTTTCAGATAGAAAAATTCCAGCACAAAGGATGTCACTTTTAGTTAGCCAGATTTTCCAGTTGATTTCATCTTGAGCTTGTCATTCCCACTAGACTCCAGCGTTTTGTTTCCTATTTCCATAATTCTATGTTAATATTGCAGATATCGCAAATTCCACCAACTCAGGAAAGCATTCAAGAGAGGCCGAAGCTCTGGTAATTTCTCCTTGTAAGACATCAGCAGAGACAACACCTGCATCCCAATTTGTGTTTTCTATAGCTTTTGCATTTGTAATGGAGAAAACCCCACCTACTTTAATATTGTATGTGTGTGCATGCATACGTGTGTAAATAGGGATACATACACCTTCTGCCCCTGCCGAATGGCATTTATTCAAAGTCTACTGGGTTTATATGTTGTACTAAGCAGAAGTCTATAGTTTCTTGGAGGTGCTGTTGTCACAAAGGCCCAGCTTCAGTTGAAATGCTTCTTTTCCCTCTGGGGAAAAGAAGACTGAGAAGCATGAGAGCTACCATTGCTATGAGCTTAAAAAATAAGCACCAGGTATTCCTGTAGAAAAGGCTTGTCTTTTTTAGTTTAACACTCTCTGGGGATTCCCTCTCAACCCAAGCACCAGTTCACACCACTGGCCATCCATAGTCATTGCAAGCAGCCTGTACTGAATGTGTACCATCTTGTTGCTGGTTTACAGTCATGCAGTGCAGGGCATGGTGGTACGAGCATCTTATTTAAGACGATGTCCTAAGATGCCAACGAGGAACAACTCAGGGTCTTTGTTGCTATGATATTAACAAGGAACTATTGCTTACTTAAGGACAAAATATCTGGTTGTCAAATCATCTAGGCCCCTCTCTGCAGAAGAAATGATGACAAATAAACTCACATTTGGAGCAGCTTCTCTACTAGACTAGAAAAAAAATGTCCTTGGGGAGACAAAGGGAAAAAAAATTGCTTGGTCTTGGGTTGGTTTGCGGACAAATTGAGCATGCTGTGTTTAGAGAGCTCCTGGTGTCTTAAATGTCACTCTACTCACGCTCTTGTACACCCAGCAGGGACCCTCCCAGCATCATTTCTGCTGTGATTCAAACAGTTTTGATTGCCCCCAAGTACTGGGACAGATAGATCTTTTGAAATGATTTGTGGCTTATGGAGATGATGAGACTTAATCAGGAAACCTCGAAAATTTCAAAAGGAAGAAAACTATCATGCAGAAAAATATTTGTGAAAAATGGTGTTTTTGAAGCATTGCATCTGGGCGAGTCCTAATAATGATAGTAATTAGCAACCATTTCTATTTGCACAGTTCTCCGTGTTTTAAAAAAAATATTTTTGTATGTAAAACGTGATCTCAAGGTAAAACAAACGGGACTCCCCCTTACGGCGATGGGAAGACCATAGCACAAGGGCGTCCATGACAGGTTTGATACAAGGATCCTTGATCCAGTGTCTTTGACTTTGCAAACTTTTAGGTCTTTCAGGAGATTCGGTACCATGCTATCTCCTAATGCCAAAGCAGAGAGCACTTTATACCGTACTTGTTTGCTCATGTTCCGCTTTTTCTTCCAATCAAGTGGTCCAGTCACGAAGAGACTTTCTGGATTTGATTCTATTCTGTATTCGTTTTCAAAAGTGAGGGAGGAATGAAAATCATCAGTTGAGCGATCCAGTGTCTAATAGAGTGAAGAACCATGGGAGGCCATTCCTGTGGTTCTTTTTAACCCTGCACCTGGCTCTCTCTGGCAGGATTCACCTTAAGCATATCCTTGGCTGTTTTAATTTGTGAGGGTGACACCAGCTCAGGGGTAGAGCATTGTCTTCCTTAGACAACTGGACAAAGAGAAATGATCCAAACCTATGGGTGTGAATAATTCACTTACTTTATTTCCACATATATTGTTGCTCGGTGGATATTTATAGGCTGTGATTATGTCTCTTTGAGTCATGTTTTCAGACGATACAAATTTAGAGCACTTTCGCACAAGTTTTAGTTGCTGATTTCTGTAACATTGTTTTGTCCTTCCTTTCCTATTCAGTTGTTGCAGAATAGCACATAATGATCCAGATGTTTACTTCTTATTTTTTCAGGTCTATATATTACCTGCTTGCTGTCCCTCATTTCTAGCCTAAGGTCAAACTAAAAAGTTTCTGTGCTTTTAAGTTTCTTTCTACCTCTCTTATCAAGTCTTTAATTTTCTTATTTGATGTTTGTCCTTCACTTTATAGCAGTCATGATAGCAGGAAATTAACTATTTACATTTTCATATACAAATCTTTTGAGATAAAGATACATATTGGCATTTATTTTTTTAATTTTTTTTCAATATATGAAATTTATTGTCAAATTGGTTTCCATACAACACCCAGTGCTCATCCCAAAAGG